GGGCCGGCCCGTTTGGCCAGGTCTGCGGTAGGGTATAACAGCCTACCGCCAAGGTCCCTGGCGGTAGGGTTGCATGCCCTACCACCAAAAACCTTCTAAGTATTGAACAAAGTACGTGCTCGTGCCTACCGCCAAGCACCTTGGCAGTAGGGTTGTGCAGGCTACCGCCAGTCCGGTTGGCGGTAGCGATGTTTCCTACCGTCAAAGTCCCTACCGACATGGACTCTGACGGTAGCAAAAGGGTCAGATCTAAAAAAAAATTCAAACTAAGGTTAAATCTCGAATAGGTTTCAGAAAAGGGTCAAAACACGAAAAATCGCCACTGGTGTACTGCTAGCGATGACATAACAAACGTCCTAAACTGAGGGGTACTTGTATGGGACTTTGGTGTATTTTGTGGGGATTTAGGGTTTCGATGTTTGCGCTGAAATGAAAACTTTGAGCAGTCCTAGGTTGTGTCGACATCCTAGGTTTATGTTGCAAATTATGGTATCGGGACGTGGTTTGTTTTTCTCGGCAATGCAAGTTCTTTGCATATCAGGTTAAGAGCATCTCTAGCGGATGCCCTAATCCGCCGCTGCCCCATATATGTGCGGGTTGTTTAGCGTTTTCAGGCGGGAACAAAAGTGGTATATTTGCATCGGCTCGTAAAATTTATACGAGTGGTCCGCAAACCGTCTCTTCTGCCGCTATATGTATGTGGAGTGCGTGCTTTAGGATTCCCGTCTCAGATAGATCCGTCCCCTTCGCTGCAATCCTCTTCCCCTATGGCACCCGTCTTTTCTTAGCTCCGGCGAGCTCATCTGGCCGGCCCCCCTCCCCCGAGCGCAGATCATGTCGAGAAAAGGTCTCACGGACGCAAGGCCTGCCGCGGGTCGCTGCCATGCAAGCGCGGTCGGCATGATGCAGAGGCCAACAACTCCAGCCGTCCCGCCGTCGAGTCGTGGCGCTCGATGCCGGCGCGCAACCGCGGCACCCTCTCCCATAGCGGCAGTAACCGCGCATGGCAGCGCTTCAATGAGCTCCACGATGCGCTTTGGCCGAAGACGAAGAAACTCCGCGAGGCGGAGATTGCACTCTTCGCCGTGAAGGAGGCACTGGAGGCTAGCGAAGAGGGCGCGACCACACACTTCGAGGCGCCCAAGTACGCACGCAACATGGCTTTCTGGGCCCTAGAAATTAGCTCGAAATTCATCCTCGAGGTCTTCCCAGGTGCCAATTGAGTTGTGGAGAAGGCTATTAAGCTAAAGCCGAGCTGAGCCCTTGAGCTTCAATGGCATGTATTTGATGGCGTGGAGGTCATCTCGACCTGCAATGTGTATTGCCATGAGAAAATCCTTTATCCATATTGTGGGCTCCGTTGTTCCATCGTATTATTCGATGTTGGTGGGTTTAAACCTGTCGGGGAACTGGTGCTGCATGACTTCATCCGTGAAGCATTGAGGGTGCACAGCTCCTCGGACTCGTGGAGTGGCGTGGCGTACATCTAACATGGTTACAGTGCGGTCACGAGTGTTGTCGTGCACTTGATCGTTTTTTGCTACCCAAGCTAAGTATCATGTCTGTCCAGCATGCGGGTGTTGCCTTGATTTGTAGATTGACCGAGGTGGGTTTTCATACCTTAAGGGCCTTTTCTACTTAGGGTCATATCTCGTGGTGGTCCGTGGTGGCTAGATTCCACTACGGGCTCCTGGCGCCTCAAGGGTGTGTTTGGTTATGCATGTTTGCCGATCTCTACCCCAGGGAGGACGATCAAGTGTTTCAACCCAATCGGGTGTCGAAAGCACGCCACCCTCTATCTCCACATCCAACTCATTTAGCAAGTTTCTGCGGGGCGAAGATCAGTTAGCCCCAATCTATTGGAACTTGTCCTCGAGTGCCTGCTCGACCTTGAGGAGATCGGTCCATCTACCAGTTAGCTCTCCCTCTTCGGTCTTGGGATAGACGGCCAAGTACGCGCGCAACATGGCTTCATGGCATCGTTTGGCAACACTTTGGGGTTCTCGGTTGCTCTTTGCCTGGTGTTCGACGGCCAGGATCAGGAGGCGTGACGCTAATTTGGCGTTTGTGCACTCCTAATCCAATGATAGATGTGCTCTGTGCGGGCGATGTTGATCTACCTTTCATTCTCCTACTCCAACCATGTCGACGATTAGGCCGACGGGCTTGGGCATGGCTCTCTACGGTGACGTGGTAGTTGGCGGTAGTGTGATCTGTCATCTGTGTAGGTTCTTATGGCGACCACTCCGACCTACGATAGTGGACTCCCCACAGACTGTGGTGGCCACCGAAAGGTCTTTGTGAGGGTTCTCTCTAGACTCGATGGTTGGCTTTGGCGAAGAGATGCAAACTATCGACAACAACTTGATGTAGAGGGATGCTTGTGCAACGAAAACGGTCCACATCACATGCAGCTGTGAAAGGATCGATATAGTTGACTAGAGGGGGAGGTGAATAGGCAACTAACAATTTTTAGCTTTTCTTTACCAATTTAAATTTTGCATCAAAGTAGGTTGTCTAGATATGCAACTAGGTGAGCAACCTATATGATGCACCAACAACAAGTACACAAGCAAGCATGAGATGCAACACAATATAAGCTTGCACAAGTAGAGGTACGAGATAACCAAGAGTGGAGCCGGTGAAGACGAGGATGTGTTACCGAAGTTCCTTCTTTTTGAAGGGAAGTACGTCTCCGTTGGAGCGATATGGAGGCACAATGCTCCCCAAGAAGCCACTAGGGCCACCGTATTCTCCTCACGCCCTCACACAATGTGAGATGCCGTGATCCCACTATTGGTGCCTTTGGAGGCGGTGACCGAACCTTTACAAACAAGGTTGGGGCAATCTCCACAACTTAATTGGAGGCTCCCAACAACACCACGAAGCTTCACCACAATGGAATATGGCTCCGCGGTGACCTCAACCATCTAGGGTGCTCAAACACCCAAGAGTAACAAGATCCGCAAGGGATTAGTGGGGGGAATCAAATTTTTCTTGGTGGAAGTGTAGATCGTGGCCTCCTCAACCAATCCCTAGGAAATCAACAAGTTTGATTGGCTAGGGAGAGAGATCGGGCGAAAATGGAGCTTGGGGTGGAAGAGGTAGTC